GTGGTGATGAGTTTCTATTTATTGTACACTATTTCCACAGCATTTACAGATGTAGATGTCTAACTATTTCTCTGGGAGTATCTTTACAACAGACATTGTGTTCCACAGTGTTGCAGTGTAGCAAGCACAGTTTTATCCTGCTATATGCTGCTGGAGCTAAAAAACAACAACATATATATAGATATGTAAAAGAATGCTTAGATTCTTTGAGCTGTCTCCAGCTGTGGAGACTCACAATTGTCACAATCACCACAAACAGTAACTATGTTACAACTGTTTCCTAACTGGGATGTGTTGGTCTTGTTAGAGGAATTGTGAAAGCGACCAAGAAGAAGAAACTATGAAGAGGAGACCAAGGACCAGAAAGAGAAGCAGCACTTCCTGAGAGCAACCCTCAGAGTGTCCGTCAGACATGCATAACAGTGACTTTGCACCTTTATTTAGGGCATGCTCTGCAACTGTCATACGCCACTAAGCATAGTTACAATATATTTTGACATGACAGCTGTAAAAGTAGATTTTTTTTTTTTTAAGAGTTTAAGGCAACTTCTTCATTCTGAATCTGCACAACTTCTGCTGTATGTCGGACATCGTTCCGGCATGTTTAAACATGTGCTAATCTTGCACTAGCAGCTATAGCTTGATTGCTGTTGCTGTTGACAGGAACTGTTGTGTATGTTAGCATATATGTGAGCATATATATATATATGTATGCTATAGACAGCTTCTGTCTAAAAAGTTCTCAAGCTGTTGTTTGGCACAGTATTGATACAGATTGATTGATATATATTTTAACAGATGTTAGCATCCAGAGTGTTAAATTAAAGGGTTTAGCGCTGCAGGATAACAACATGACAGCAGATCTTCAAATGTTTACGTGTTGTGCTTAACGATGTTTTATCATTTACTGTTAACCTCAAGATATAAGCCCCTAAAGCATCTGTATACTATATGTTTACATAGGATATTTTAATTTGTGCAAATTTTTCTGAGACTGTAACTGTGTTTCATTGACGAGTTCACTGACTGCATGTATCTACGGTATGCCTAATATGTGAATCTAATTCTGCAGTTTTAAATGGAATTGATAGGTCTTGCAATACTTTCATGTATTTATAAATAGATATACATCATGTCTTAAGTTCACTTTTGCCTGCATCTTAGCCTTCAGTGTTTTCAAGAAGCATTTTACTTTCTTTATATGTGTATAAAGTGTAAATTGAGAATGTGTTAAATAAATTAATGAACATTGTTACTTTGACCGTTTTTATGAAACCAAAACTTGTTGATTTGATCTATTTTCTTAACGCTGTGGAAGGGACTGGTGCCTGTCTGGGCTGGTGCTTTGCATAAGGCAGGTTACACCCTGCACAGGTCACCAGCCTACAGGGCTTACACAGAGAGACACACAAGCCTTCATGATCACATCCATACCTACAGCCAATTAACACAACATGCATCCCTTTAGACTGTGTGCACAGAGACAACATGAAGTTCAAACCCACATCCTCCTTGCTGTGAGGCATCAGTGATAACTACACCCTGAGTCCTGGATATTAAACTCTCACCATCTCCTTTCTTTTAAGGCCAAGCAAAGTGTAAAATGATTTTCCCACACAGTGAAAGTGTGATTGTGTCTAGATGACCCAGAAATCCCAACCATAAATATGCCAAACACACTAAAGTAAAAAAAAAAAAAAAAATACAAAGCAGCTCTTGACGAGGAATAATAATCTCAATATCAGTGTGTTATCCACCTACTTTGTTGGCTGCTGCCATTTCTTCTGGCCACTGCTTGGTTATTTAGCCTCCCAACAGTGGCGCCGTTTGGACTCAGCTGAGCTGAAAGAGATTGAAGGGATAATTTGGCCTGACCTACACAATTTGGGCCAGCTCAACACAAAGACTGAGAAAGGTGTCACAATCAACAAGTGGGTCAGTCTGAAAACAGTGTGCCTTTTTGTCCTTCTCTATAGCAGCACAAAATATTTAGATTCACATTTAATTCGCTATGTCAGACAAAACTCCTGTAGTCTGTTTCCATGTTAGCACATCTCCCGTTATTGTTTAATGACAGCCTGTGAGTTACTGGCCTTTGATGAGACAAGAGAAAACATTTAGTGCGCGTTTGGGTCACTCGGTCTATTTGCCCTGAAGGGCTAAGCTGGTGACTGTAAATATTCCTGCCATGTCTCACTGAAATAAGAGCCGAGTCCTTTGTAGACAGTGATATGACATGCTTTCCAGTCAGCCGTTACAGTGAGGTCTGCATCTCATGTAAGAGAGCCACAGCTGGTATGGTGGGATCAGTTCTGTGGGATCATGGAATTCCAGCCGACTCACGTTGGTATGATCCGGTTGATGATCCATTCACACAGACAAATAAGGTGGGCTGTCAGCTCAAAGTGTGTCCTTCAGGGTGTCTTTGGAACAGTGCTTGACTCAGAGATGTGTCAGTGTTAGCACACGATGAGCATAATAGGCCCTTTTCAGCTACCCAGCCATTCTGACATGGAAACACAGGTGTAATTATTTACATCATGACCCTGTTCCACTTAAATGAGTCAGGCCCCTGGTGCTACTGTGGCCCATTATTAGTATTCTTCTTATTATTTTTAATGGAACATGAATGCTGCTGTTAGTGAGCTGTAGATAAATAATTTACCATAAAAAAAACAGTGTGTCTGCGATGTTGAGGCCATTGCAGCAAAAAAGTGATATGCTGTGCTTTTCTTTTACTGTGGTGCCATCTAGTGGGCATAACAAAAACTACAGCCATATACCCTGAAATAAATAGTTACAAGAAATTATTTTAGGGAAAAGTAAAAAGACCTGGTTTTTCACACGCTATCATTCGTGGATTGGCCTCCCCAGAACCAGGAACTCAGCATTACCGAAACAGTGTGAGATCATCTCAACAGACGATTGAACAAAAAGCTGCCAACATCAAAAGAAACACTCTTTAAGAAGCCTGGAAAACTATTCCTGAAGACTACTTAAGATATTCATGCATCAGGAATTTTAAAAAAAATAAGTTTATTTTGTAAATTAGACATCAAAAAAGTACACAGGCATTTAAACAAGCTACATAAAAATCATATCAAGTGATAGGTTGGTGCCTAAAAAGCATTTACATATCAGATAAAACAAAATACTACAGCTTTATTGAAATTAACGTGTTTTCTTATTCTTTATATCTGCTCTATGATATATTACAGCTAGTTTCGTTATAGGAACAAAGCACTGTGCTGACTCCAGTAAATTATGGTGTATCTTATTTTCCTTGATACACCTGATGCTTTGTGGTCAGTGCGCATCAGAAGATCTGATGGCAGAGGCTGTGTAGCTGTGGAGACAGACCTGAGGGCATTAATCATGAATGCCAGCCTCTCACTTTATCTGTGTGATCATTAGGCCGTACTTTACTGATGATCACTCTCTGGAAATGAGCTCCTGGAGGCTGCTTTCATTATTCATACCTACAAGAGCACAGTCTGCCCCCTATTCTTGGAAATGAGACTTAATGGGTGGGTGAGTGTGTGGGTGGTTGTGCTCTTGATATGTCACTGAGTGGCGTGTCTTTGTCAGTGATCTCATCTCTCTCACTGCTTCATCTTTAGCGATGTGCATCACAGGTACATTTGCAATTAGACCACAAGGAGGTGACAAGTGTTGCTCATTGTGATACCGAGAATGACAAGTCTTCCCCTTTAAGGAAATTTGATTGGCTGACCTTTTCATCAAAGTTAGTATGCTTTGCACCTGGACAAACAACTGTGGCTCACACAAATATCTATCATCGTGTTGCTTTTTTTGTTTTTGCCAAAGGCATGTTATTATGTTCTTAATACAAATTACACGTTCCACCTTTCTACATATCCACATAACCCACTTTAACAAGTCGATTCAAGCCTCCCGTGAACTTAAAATAGACGTCTGATTGTGTGAAGTGGTTGTTGAAAGTGTTGTGAACCTTTATATATGAAAGTATTCCCAAAGGCACGCTGCTATAAGGAACACTTTGCCTCCTGTCACGTGTAGATATCTGGAAACAGACCAGAATATGAAACTAAAGGACTTGCCAGATTATATTTCACATATTTCAGGTAAGTCTATACAGGAATCAGTTCTTCTCCTCAGCTACAAGACTAAGTGCAAACAATTAGCTGGCAATATGTGGATGATGGTGGTGGTGTCAGGGCGCGATGATGTTTTGCTCACATAATTAGTCTCTGAGGCCTTGTGTTGAAAAAACAACAGACTTGTCACCATAGCTATCATTCCTGCATCAAATGTTTAAGTATCACATGTATGAGCCCAATCATTTCTGCTGCGAGCATGCATAGCGTCCTTGACAACTACTTACAGTTTTTGTGATGAAGCTTTCACATTATGTTCAGTCTTTTAAACGTTTTGTTTTCTGAAGATGTATTTCAGCATTTTGCTGCTGATGTTTGAAATATTAAAAAAAAAGGTGCTGCTGGTAAAACCCACGGCGGTGGTGCTGTTTGAACATTGTTTATTTTTTTCTGAAAGGGCTAAGGATAACCTTCTGGAGACAGGAAAATCAATAGCGCTGTATTGAATTGCAGAGACCCCTGGTGTCTGCATTGATGTACTTGGTGGTCATTTGGCTCTGGAGACCAGAATGTTCCCAGTGCAATATCAGTAAAAAAAAAAAAAGCAAAAACAGCATCATAACAACAGCAGTTAGACTCTATAACTCCTCAATCACGATGTCATAAGTCACTGGACACTGTGAACATCCATCCGTATATATGTATGTATATCTATACATATGTATATTTAGTGTGTACATGTGTGTGTGTACATGTCTATAAACAGGAATAGTAGTGGTACAATAGCTATATCAAGCTATATAGTTTATGTCCAACCATATCCATAATCACATACTGTGTATGCTACCATTGTATATAGTGTATTATCTTACTTTTTTTCATTGATTGTACTTATTGTATTTTTGTATTTCCTTCTGATATCTGTACCTGAGCAGAGGTGACGCAAAAATGTCCCCGTTGTGGAATCAATAAAGTCTTATCTTATCTTATCTTATCTTATCTTATCTTATCTTATCTTATCTTATCTTATCTTATCTTATCTTATCTTGTCACAACAAACCATACACCAAATTCAATTTCAGGTTGTGTAGTGGAAGATGAGACAAGAAGTTCATATGGAGGGTTGATAAGCAAACCGAGGACTGCGGAGGAGCAGCCATGGATTGTCGCAGCTCTTTCACCATTTGTATAACCTGCTCTTCTAATAATTGGACGGGGGATATTTTGGGTTCACAGGTCTCTTAATTAAAAGCGCTCAGCCCTCTGACAGATGAGACCATTATTTCTGTGGAGTGTGAATGAATCAGCCGCAGTTCATAATAACATAATGAGTCAATTTGTTGCTTTGCACAGCCCAAATCAAAATCCGTGACAGTCACACGCAGTCACACGCTGCTCACCCGCCGGTGCAAGATTTGTGCACATTTTTTAGAGAATCAATCATTTATTTATAGATTTTGCACTTATATGATCCCGTGAGCGACAAACGTGTACGGCTGTATTTCTCTGTTTAGGTCTGACATGCTGCTAGGTCACAATATGCTGATGGCAGTTCAGAACATGTAATTATGTAATATCTGTGATAATGGTGTGATTGGGTCTTTTAACACTACAGTCTAAAAGAGCAGAGCCACGGTGAGCATCAGCACAAAAGGAATGATTACATTACAGAAGGTTTGAATGCTTAACAATTTCATGAAGCTTTTTAAACGATTACCGCCATCAGCGGCAGTCCTGCAAATATCTGCGCTTTATTCACTACCTGTACTGCTGCCGTTGGCCTTTCTTTTGATATCATGAATTGACTGGATTGTTAGTGATTTCACACTCACCACATCTGGCTCTTTCTGGATGGGAGGATTATAAATACAGTAGGTGTATAAATAACCACTGCTGGGGGAAGCTCTGCCACCTTAGCTGTGATTCAGTCTCACCCCCTTCGTCATTTTAAACCCAGCTGGAGCTCAAATCAGGGCCTTTTTACAATAAAAGAGCAGCTAGAGAAAATGAAGCCCTATTTATTATTCCTCGTGGCTTTTTGTGACTGGAACCACAGACCCCTTGTCCACCCTCTTTCTTCTCTCCCACTCGCCTTTGAATGCTTCTGATAAAAGGCTCCAATGTCTGCTGCTGCAGTAATGATTAGGTCTTTGTAGTTCTGCCCATACATACAAAA